TTGCTGAAACTCACACCATTAAATGGAGATCTTTGTCCAGAGCCCAAATCTTTCTCAGGTGCAGCTTGTCTTTAAAAATAATAATAAAACAGGGTCAAAGCAGCACAGCTGCTATTGAACTCCACGAGCATCATGGCCGCCGAGGGGACATGCACACCTCTCTGCACGTTGACTGGGCACATCTGTCTCGACTTTTGTCATGATGTCTTTTGCCAGATTCTCTTCTGCCATTTTAGGGTCCTGATCTGGGGCCCTGAGAGGTGAGCAGTGTGTGTGATTAGAAACTTTCTATACTTTTTGGAGCCTTAATAAATGTGTGTACTTCATCTTCAAAAAAGAAAAATATACCTTTTATTGGCTTCATATTTGGTGAAAGATTGCTTCCAACACTTCACAGTGAAGTTATATTTTCAATTTCTGGCTGAGAAGGGAAATGTCTGGCCAAGCCTTAGAGTTTATCAACCTCGGAATCGACTTGGAGGTGTAATGACTCCATTTGGGATCAGATCAGGTCCGAGGCCCCCAAAGAACCAATATGTCATTTCTTTTCCACCACCACAAAAATACCTAATAATATAAGAATAGTAGCATTGTTGCCGTAACATGAACACCAATTTTATTTCCCTCTGCCCCTAAAATATTCTGCTTCCTGTCACCAGCAGATCCTCGAGCCAGGCGTTTTTGACTGCTTCGGCACTGTAAAAGTACCTGTGAAGTAACTAGGGTGAGGTTCAAATGCAACCCTAAAGATTTCCCTCTTCTTTCCCCCACTCTCCAGATTAAATCACTTCCAGACATTATTATAATATCATTTTTCAGAGCTCTTATAAATAGATGGATTCTCATTTCTCCTCTTAAATACTGTTTGCTAAATGTTTTGGCCCAAAAGTTCAGTCATTCCATGCAAGCATTAATCAATACAGGAGACATTAGTGGTTGCTCACTCAGATGAGATTTGACATTATTTTTCCTCTGCCTGTGGGGAGGGGAGGGGCATGTTGCCTAATAAAGATGAAGGGTCTTTTCTTCCTTTGTATGAAATGCAAATGATGAGGACACATAAGGTATACATTTCTCAAGCATGAGGCTGCTGCTTTTTGTTGAGAAAGAGGGGCAAGGCCTCGGAGGATTTTAGAATTTGTAAATATAAAATTATCTGCCTTGGTGTTTAAAAAAATAATAAAAGGGAGAAAGAGTTGGCAGGTTGCCAGATTACTTACATTACAGTAATAGATTTGGTGACCCCTGACTTCTGCTGTAGAGAAATGTATTGAATTTTTCATAATATCAGATGAAGCAGATCTAAAAACCTAGTACACTGAGCGCCATTATTTAACTTGAGATTTAACAAAGCCAAAATCCTTTCAAACCAGCCATTTTTTTGTATGATGATAATTTAGTGGCTCAGAAGCTAATAAATCAAGGTTACAATGCCATTGATTTGTTAATTTTAATTTGGGTTGATTTTAAGTTGTCTTTTAAAAAAAAGGAGGAGGAAAAAATCTTGCTTTCCATAGTGACTGAATTTAATAAGATTCTCTGATAGCAAAAGGCTCCCCTACTGCTTCTGCTTTGGGGTGGAAAATGTTATTCTTGTATTATTCCTAGGGAAAAAAATCTCATGCTGCTACAATTCTTATGCCTATGAAAAGATGTTATTTTTTAATACATGATGGCTCACCTATTTGAGATCCATTAATGGCATCATAAATAAGCATTTTGCTAATCTGAAATGTGAAATCTGGATAATAATAGAGACCCATTTATCTGCCCAGCTTTCAATCCCAGACTAGATGTAGATCAGGCTGGAGAAGGAAGAGGGGGGCATCTCTCTAATGAATATATTGCTGCATTTCCCCATGACTTCCACCCACCTAAAACCCAACGTGCATTCTTAGAGTTGCAGTCCATTGAAAAGATTTCTTCTGTGCAATGCATTCTTGGGGGCTGGGGTGCATTTTTGCTTTTATCTGTGCAGTTTAGAAACTGCTTACAGTTTGTTGTACTACAAATATTTGAGGAATAATCCTCTGCAAGGCACAGGCATGTTGCATTATACTAAATTCTTTATATAGTACCAATCTCCTCAGCTTCCTGCATTGGGCAATGTTGACCTTGTATTGGCTAACCTGTTTTTAATGCTCACATGTACGTTAAACGTTTCATTGTTCAGAAACCTATTATGGTTGGTGCTCATCCCTTATGCTGTAAAAAACTAATAATCAAATGGTAAGATCATATCCTGTGGGGTCATTGTGTTGTACCATGACAGGATAACTGAAAAACATTCAGTGAAAACCACCGCAAACGGAAATCGCTCTATGAGCAGCAATTGTTTGGGTGCCGTGCAAGACCATGTCCTGTTCTTCAGGGGCTTAGTCGGTCATATTTCTACTTGTTTCTTTTTAGCTGCTGCCTTTCTTGTTTTATTTTAGGAGCCCTTTTTTCCCCCTGAGCCACTATAATTATCTTTCAGTGATTTAGAACGGAAAAAAAAACCCCACTCAGCTGACCTTTACACACACACACACACACACACACACACTCTCTCTCTCTCTCTCTCTCTCTCTCTCTCTCTCTCTCTCACACACACACACACACACACACTCCTTTGGAAGATTTGAACAAGTAGGGCTTGTGTTTGGATTCAGTTTTACCTTAGTCATGCCTCTTTCCAGATACAAGAAACATTTAATTCCAGATTTCCTGCTTCTGGCTTTAGGCCTTTGACCAGCAAAGGGAAATGTATTTTCTTTACGGCTGTCAGCCAGCCAGCTGCTGAGTTGAGTGAAGGAGGGGAAAAAAAGAAAAGAAAAAAGAAGTGAAATGGAAATGTTGCCCTGCCTCTTGAATTTGCAAAATTGTATAAGGGAACTAAAGCCTCGTTAGCACCCATCTAGAAAACTGGGTTGGCACAGGACTGTCAGAACCTGAGATGAAGGGCCCTTTGGGGCCCACCTTGGGTGTCTCTCCCACTCAATTCTCTGCTCCTGCTCCCCTCCCCTCCCCCCCCCACACACAGATGATGCTGCCACCCTTCTTAGCAAAGAGGGTCTCTCCTGGTGTCACTGTCTCAATTAGAGAATGGAGTTGGGGGAAGGGTGGCAACCATTGGAATACCCAGACTTCCATGCTTCTTGGATTCCCATGGCAACCAAACAAAAGTCAAACAAACCTATCTGCCCCAGCAATAAAAATATGTATTCATTGAAGTCAATTTAAAATATTTCTTTCCAATTTAAAATATGCAGTGCATTTGGCTCCCGGATAAAAACCCCCAACCTGCCGATGTGAAAGGGGATAAAGCCCCTGGCAGAACCACACAGATAAAAGGAATTGGGGAGAATGTTGGGACTTTACAGATGAGACAAATAAATTCAAGTATGAACAAGATTGCTATTTTTTCCTCTCTTCTTCTGCTTAGTTATGCTTTTTATTATATAAACATTAACTGTAATATTACAGTGGGAAGCAGGTATTTGGCAGCCATATATTATTTTAGTAAGTCTACATGGAGAGAACAGTTTCCAGTTTTAGCAGCTGTAACATGTTTAAACTCAGTTTGTAATGGGATCTGAAGATAACTATTCCCCATGGGCTCTGTTGATCTTCGTGGCTGGCTCACTGCCAGATGGAGGGCTCGAAACTATTACTCACGCCTCCTTGCACATACCTTGTCCGAGCATGCTCAGTAAGTGAATTTTGTTCCTAATATGCTATAAATTGGGATTTGATTTCCCCATCATCTACTTGGTATTTTACTGAAGAGTGAAATATTTTGATCACAAATGTCCCCATGTCTGTACTCGCAAACCTGAACAGTTGTGCGTGTTTAAGTAGTTGAGGTCCAAATGGCGTAGTTAGAAACCAATTTCAGGATAGCTAACAAATATCCAAACCAAAGAAGTTTCTGCCTGGCAGTCTTAGTTTAAAAATAATTAGGGTTCCTGATATTTGAACAGATGTATGTTGTTTATAAGCCAAGTACATTTTCTTCATTGAGTCAACTTGCCTTATTTAAAACAAATTATGTTTGCTGTATTAAAGTTCATATTTTTAAGGCTGAGTCTCGTATTAATCCCTCAGTGAGTCATTAATCATACCAAATGCATTATAAAAACTTTAATCACTGAAGTTGAAACTGAGATTGTAATGCAATCCATCCCTTTTAATTACATCAGCTATTTTTCCCTTTCAAATCAAGAGCTATGTTGCAAAGGGGAAACAGATTAAAACTAGAGCTGTTTGATGTTTCTCTTTTTGGAGCAATTTTATGTACTTTGTATAAAAATTTATGTAATTAAAATGCTTGAATTGTTCAGCCTTCTGATTTTTGTGGTGGGAGTAGTCTACCTTCCTTCTTACCAAGGCCCTCTGCTACTTGGCACCCCAAAACAGAGCTAGCTCCTCACACTGGTCACCTACCCCCTCAGAGCTGCTGGGCAAGACAGCTGTCTCAGTCACGCTGTGCTTGCCTCCCATTAACACCTTTGTCTTACCTGTCTGGTCTATATTTTGACATGATGAAAATCTGACCTTTGGAGATGGGCACAAGTGGGTTCAAATTCTACCTCATTCAAATGGTGTGGCTCTCAGGCAAATTCTTGACCCTTTCTGGGCCTCCGTTGTCTCATCAAGTGGCAGGACGGTGAATAAACAAGCAGCTATCATTATCGCTGCCATTATTGTTGTGATGTTGTTGCTGGCACTACACCGGCTCCATGGGCAGTGATGGTGATCCAACTTGGATGCTTCCATTGTTACCCTTGGTGTAGAGACTCACAAAAACCAGAAAGCAGTCTTGCAAAGGAGTTTGCGTCACCAGTACTGGTTTTAAGTAGGGAAGTAATCATGGAGTAAGTTTCCAGAAAAGCATTGATGTCACTGGAAATGAAGTCACGCAATAAATTGCTTGTATCGTAAAAAGAAAATAAACCCATAATGTCGATGCTAATGGAATTATCTCCCCTGACTGATCACCTCTTCTGATATCCTTTTAGATTAATCCTGCCTTATGAAAGGTTTATTAAAGGAGAGGAAGACAAGCCCCTGCCTCCAATCAAACCTCGGAAACAGGAGAACAGTTCACAGGAAAATGAGAATAAAACAAAAATGTCGGGAACCAAACGCATCAAACATGAAATCCCTAAGAGCAAGAAAGAAAAAGAGAATGCCCCAAAGCCCCAGGACGCATCCGAGGTGAGTTGCTTTCTTCCACAGAAATACCTCCGTGAGACGTGCCCTGGGAGACCTCAGGGTCTCCCGGAGTCCTGCACCTGTAGCTGTGACCCCGCACAGTTGCAGCGCTAGACTGAGCAGTCAGATCATCAGAGCTGAAAGGCAGTGTGTGGGATTGAATGGGATACGCAAAAAATATGATCCAGAAAGATGTGAACATCCCATAGCAAACTGGTGGCAACCACTGACTTTGAGATAGAAGGAGCCACAGCTTCATCTCTGTGAAGCCAAGGGACTCCAATTTGAAAGATGTGGCCTCTCTGCTGTTTCACAGCGAGTCCATCTGAGGAGCCAGCGTGACTTTAAAACACGTTTTGTGGGTTCTAGCAGGGAGGGGCACTGAAACTGATGTGTTGTGTCTCTGCAGGACGCTCCTGAAAACTTTAGAGACTCCTTTGCCTCCTTGTAATTGACCTCTGGGCAGCAGCCTTGGGTTGAGACCAATTTAGAAACATCTTAAGTACATATTATTTATGGAGAAATTTTGAAATAGTTCCTCTGAAATCATTATTATCTCTCATGTTAACAGGTAGTGTCTGAATCTTTTAAAACAAGCCCCAGCTACCCACAGCCCCCAACAGCTCTTTGGTGGAAGCCATTAATGTCCGCACAGAGCCAGCCATGGAGGCCGGTCTGGGCTCTGTTTCAACATGAATAATAAAAACCCTGCTGCCTATAAAAAAAAAACTTAGCAGCCACATTTGGAGACAGCATGTTCTAGGATTCAACCCCAGAGGGAATTTTGTTGCTGATATTAAACACCCCCTAAAAAATCAGGTTTATAATGAACACATAAGAGACTCCCTAATTAAACACTGGTTTAAAACGCACACAACACAAACACTACAACAATCTCCTAACGAGAATGCAACTTATTCAACTGGATCCTGTGTCAGAAGGTTGCATTGACACAAAGACAAAATTTATTTTTGTTTTAATTTTTGTTTCACAATTATTTTAAGCTCTAGTAATTAAAAAGGGGGTGGGGGAGGGGAGATGATGCAGAGATTTCTAAACATCTGCAAGCTTGCAACATAAATGGCCAAAAGCAAGGAAATTCCAAGTTAAGGCTAACATTCCATTCCTCCTTTATCCTGTTGGCCTGGTGATTTATTATGGGATTTTGGATCAGTGAGTTCTATTAGATACCATGTGTACAGCATTGCCAAAGCACCTAGGGGCACACTGAGGACCAAGAGGACAGCCGACCTTTGAATGGCTTCACTCTGGGGATGAAGTTTAAAATGGTGGGTTTGTGAGTTGTGGAAGGAATCCTCAGCCCCTGCCCTGAGCCCATCAGCTCAGGCGATGACCATTGTCAGAAGTAGAGCCAGACGACCTGCAGTCCATATCTTAAAGCCTTAAGGCTCCCTGTTTCCTCGAGGTCCTGACAGTTCCCTTCAGGGAGCTGTCAGTGTCTTGAGTGTCAAAGTTTATTATGATCAGGTTATCTAAACTACCCAGAATCTCACACTGTCTTCAAGGTTGACCTTAGAGTAAGAATTGTTCCCCACCTTTGACACAGACCCATGTTATTAACCGGGTATATATCTTCCCATTGGTTTTGTGTCCCAGTTTTTGGTTAGGGCATTATTGTTGTCATTGTTTTAATTCTTCTTCATTTTTTATGTCTTCAATATGAAGCAGTGAACTCAATGGAAATAGGAGGGCTTATAAAGAAGCCCTTCTAGTCAAACCTGATATCTTTTAAGTAATTGAACTACATGTTGCCTAGTGGGAAGGAGCCATTTAACATACTAAGGGCAGATCAAAAAATTCCATCCTAGAAAAAGGATCCCTTACCTTTTTCTGTCTATCTTTTAAAGACCTCCTAAACCTATTCACAGCCCAAAGCATAGAACTCCGTGTAACTGAAGGCCCAGGTCACAGAAACTTCGTTGGAACTGAGCATCCCCACAGCCCCAGAAACCCAGCCTTCAAACCACAGAAACCCAGAAACCCACCAGAAACTAACATTTAAATGAAATTTGCTTTTTTTCCTTGCTGTGCTCATTTTTCTGTATTTTCACATAAAGTAAAAGCTCAAGGGGCCAATGATAATTGTTAATGTAGAACAGATCATGATATTTGCACTGGAAAAGGCAGTTATTAGTACAAAGAAATAAAAGATGGTACATAAAGTCTGGTAGGTATAATACGTCCCTAAAAATAGGGATATCTTTAAGTGACTTGCAGGAGAAATATCTATTAAATGAGTGTGATTCCCTGAATTTTTGTTCTTGTACATCGCTACACCAGCATCTTCAATGTTACCCCAAAATGCTAATGGGGTTGGAACTTCTTTTCTTCATAAAGAAGAACAATGTTCGTGGGATGAGATGGAGGTGGGGAGAAAGACTAGTTTCATACAAATGTTTTGGGACCATTCTCCTCTAAGACATGTAAGGGCAAAATGACAGAAGTTTTGAAAGAGCTTGTCAGTCAGCTGGGTCACAGATGGAAAGTTAAAATGACCTTCCAAGGTCATAGTTTCCACAGCTACATAATGCAATGAATGGGTCGAATTGTGCCCACAACTTCTGTCAGTGGGGATACATAAAGAGCATCCATCTCATTGACTACAATTTATTTCAGTGAACAGAAAAGATGTGTTTGTGGTGGTGCTCACTGCCTGAATTTTGACAACTTCATTTTTAGCTTTAACAGAAATGTAATTTGCTGCAGCCCAGGAGGACTTAGAGTCCTTCTGTCCCTTAGGTAGACAGGCCAGTGTTACATCTGCATCATTTTTCAATATTTTAGCTTATCTGCTCTAATGGCACTGAGTAGAAATTGCTAACACTTAAACATTGCTAATTTTATACCTCAAATTGGACATATTAGGACAAGATAAGCTCTCTCTCAAAAAAAAAAAACAAAACAAGGAGTTATAGTGAGTTTGTTGTTGACATGGGGGTGGTTAGGTTTTTGAAAGAGAGATGCTTAAAAAAAACTTTCTCCAAAGTGTCATAAAGCACAACATGTAATTTAAAACCCATTTGGATAATTGACTGATTTGACAAGAAGACAACCTCAAAATTAAACTATATATTAGAATCAAGGAGTGATATGATTGTATACCATCAGAACGTAACACTTTGGTATTTTGATAAGTGTCTCATAAGGGACTAAAGTGAGTATGCATATTTCCCCTAATGCTTCTGTAATTTAGATTCTTTGTTTAGAGCTGTGATTCAGGAGTGATCAAGCTTTACAGAAACTCCGTGAGCTGATTGACAAGCCTATTTTCAAGAAAAACTGCTGCTGTGTTTAATATTTTATTACCTAGCAAAATGTGTCAATGCATTGGGCTTTCTTCTGACTATCTTGCAATCTTTCATCAGGTTTCATCAGAACAAGAAAAGGAGCAAGAAACTTTAAACCTGAAAAGCAGCACTGAGCCTCTCCCAGCAGCAGACATGAAGAAAAAAATGGAAGGGTACCAGGATTTTGCAGCGAGGCCCCTGGTGTCTACAGCGGACCCAGAAAAGGACAGCAAAACAGATCAAGGTGCCAACAGTGAGAAGGTGGCAGAGGAGGCAGGAGAGAAGGGACCTGCACCTCCACTCCCGAGTGCCCCTCTGGCCCCTGAAAGAGACCCCGGGGCTGGCAAACAGTCTCTCGCCTCTCCTAATGCTCTTGTGGACTCAAAATCTGAACCCAAACCCTGCTGTTTTACAGAGAGCCCTGAGAATGAACTCCAAGACACATCCTTCCCTGGCTTCCCCAGCACGCAGCCACCACTGGCAAACCAGAGTGAGGTGGACGATGACAAAGTGCCCGCGATGGCAGATTACATCGCCAACTGCACTGTGAAGGTGGACCAGCTGGGCAGTGACGACATCCACAATGCACTAAAGCAGACCCCAAAGGTCCTTGTGGTCCAGTCATTTGACATGTTCAAAGACAAAGACCTGACTGGGCCCATGAATGAGAACCATGGGCTCAACTACACCCCCCTGCTCTACTCAAGGGGCAACCCAGGCATCATGTCCCCACTGGCTAAGAAAAAGCTTTTGTCCCAAGTGAGTGGGGCCAGCCTCTCCAGCAGCTATCCCTATGGCTCCCCACCCCCTCTGATCAGCAAAAAGAAACTGATTGCCAGGGATGACCTGTGTTCAGGTTTGTCCCAGGCCCACCACGGCCAAAGCACTGACCACATGGCGGTCAGCCGGCCGTCAGTGATTCAGCACGTGCAGAGTTTTAGGAGCAAGCCCTCTGAGGATAGAAAGAGCATCAATGACATTTTTAAGCATGACAAACTGAGTCGATCGGATCCCCACCGCTGCAGCTTCTCCAAGCACCACCTCAGCCCCCTTGCTGACTCCTATGTCCTGAAGCAAGAAATCCAGGAGGGCAAGGAGAAACTCTTAGAGAAAAGGGCACTGCCCCACTCCCACATGCCCAGCTTCCTGGCCGATTTCTACTCCTCTCCTCATCTCCACAGCCTCTATAGACACACGGAACACCATCTTCATAATGAACAGACATCCAAGTACCCATGCAGGGATATGTACAGGGAATCGGAAAACAGTTCTTTTTCCTCCCACAAACACCAAGAAAAGCTCCACGCAAACTATCTCTCCTCTGTACACCTGCAAGACAAAAAGTTGGCTGCAGCAGAAGCCACCACGGATGACCAACCAACGGATCTGAGCCTTCCCAAGAACCCACACAAACCCACAGGCAAGGTCCTGGGTCTGGCTCACTCAGCCACAGGGCTCCAAGAGAGCAAAGGTGTCTCCCAGTTCCAGGTCATAAACAGCCACAGTCGAGACTGTCACCCCAAAGCCTGTCGGGTATCACCCATGACCATGTCAGCTCCTAAAAAATACCCTGAAGCGCTCTCAAGGTCAAGCAAACCTCACCACGTGAGACTGGAGAATTTCAGGAAGATGGAAGGCATGGTCCATCCTATCCTGCACCGGAAGATGAGCCCTCAGAACATAGGTGCAGCGCGTCCCATAAAGCGCAGCCTGGAGGATTTGGACTTCATGATTGCTGGGAAAAAGGCCCGGGCCGTGTCTCCCCTGGACCCCTCCAAGGAGGTCTCTGGGAAGGAGAAAGCCTGTGAGCAGGAGAGCGAAGGCAGCAAGGCAGCTCACAGTGGGCATTCTGGTGGTGCATCGGAAGGCCACAAGCTCCCCCTCTCCTCCCCTATCTTCCCAGGTTTGTATTCTGGGAGCCTGTGTAACTCGGGCCTCAACTCCAGGCTTCCAGCAGGGTATTCTCATTCTCTGCAGTACTTGAAAAACCAGACTGTTCTTTCTCCACTCATGCAGCCCTTGGCTTTCCACTCACTTGTGATGCAAAGAGGAATTTTTACCTCGCCAACAAATTCTCAGCAGCTGTACAGACACTTGGCTGCGGCCACACCTGTAGGAAGTTCATATGGGGACCTCTTGCACAACAGCATTTACCCATTAGCTGCTATAAATCCTCAAGCTGCCTTTCCATCTTCCCAGCTGTCATCCGTGCACCCCAGTACAAAACTGTAAGCCCAGCTCTGCCCAGCATCCCAAGTGGTGTGGCTAGAAGAGCTTCACTCCTTACCTGGGGGTGATGGCTTGTAGAATTAGAAGTCAGTATTTCTTCTAATCTGGGGGTAAGATCAGTTCCAGCCAAAGTGGCCAAGAGAGGAGGCGAGCATGCCTGATTTTTCTGGGGCAACACCAGCCTCGGCTGGTCTGTCTTGAGTCCCTTCCAACACAGATGCCCCCGTACCCCAGATGGTTCACTTCACACAGGGGTCTCATGAATGGATTTATGTGTGACCAGGAAGAACTCTGAGGACCCCGAGTTCCCATGGTCAGGAAACAATCTGGGCGAAAAGGGGGCAGGCATTTCAAAGGAAGGGGCAAGGAAGACTGGCAAACCTATGCCACGGGATGCCCCATTTTCATAAAACTCTCCAAGGTTCAATCAATGCAATGTATAGTGAAACTTCCATCGATCTTTTGTTTTGACACTATTAAACAATCCAGAGAAGTAAACACTGTTAAATTGACTGTATATATTTGCTTCTTAAAACTACCCGTATCACTGTTTGCTCTCCTAATTTATATACAGGTAGTTCCATTTTCTCCCAGTTCCTTCTTGTCCCTTTATTATTATTTTTTTAATTAAACAGTATCACTTTTGTTTGCAGGTCTTCTGTTTTTGTTTTGTTTTGTTTTGTTTTGTTTTAAAGGCTAACTGACTGTCCTAGTTGTTCATGTGTGTCTGTAATTTTTTCCACATCTTATCATTTCGAGCAGCTTTGGGTGGTAAAGTTATTGTTTACAAATTGAAGCAACTGATTCTAGTGGAACAAATGAAAAAGAAACATTTGAGCACACCATAGTGCAAAGAACGTTCCTTTGCAGATCCACAACTTCTGGACTTTGTTCCTCATAAATGGCATAGTTGAAAGAGCTCATACACTGCTTACCCGACCAAATGCTTTGCTTTGAAGTATTGGGTGATGTGAAAATATCAAGCATTGTACTTACCTTATCTAGGCTGTGAAACTGTTCTACATACCAGAGAAATCATAAAAACAAAAACTTCACTGGCAGCAAGCTGCCGAATAACAACAGAGTCTAGAGGACATACTTGTGGGCTGCACAGATATTTTAGGAATTCCAGAAATTAGAACAGGAGCCAGAATGATTTACATTGGTGTTGGCCCTGATCCCTCTAAGCAGTCCGGGAAAGGGGGTTGGGAAGAGGATGGAGCTCGACTACCCAGAAGAACACAAGCAGCCAGAGGCCCACGCTCCAGGCACCTTCCCTGGGCTGTGGACTCTGGGGTGATAGGTAGTCATGTTGCCTTCATCACGTTGATTTCTTGTTTCCAAGAAGAACTTTCCAGGCCACATGTGTGGAGCTAATTGGCATACTGGATTACCCATTCAAAAGAAAGTCATCCTGTTTGGGTTTCCTGGGCATGGGTTTTGTGTGTATGTTCTCACTTACGGTGGTTGGTGTCATGTTTGTGACCACCTGGCAATACAGCCCGCTTTATAATTTATCGTAGTGTTGGAAAGAAAGGGTCAAGCTGTGCAAGCAGTCAAAGTATGTGGAGAATGTATACTGTCATTCTTGCCACTTCGTTGCATTTGCTGCCAAGATATAACATCAAGGTGGATGCATTTTCTAAGTATGTTAAAAGTCGATCCATGCAGAGTGATTTTCTTTCCAAGTCCCATCCCTGCTGATAAGAATGCTTTGACAAACTCCCAGCCAACCCTCCCCTCCCCAACACTACCAGTAGGCATTAGGACCATAGTTAACCAGTCTTTTACCTCTGAGATATTTAATTCTATGAAAATTGATGACAATTTTCAACTGATAAATAGGTAACTCAACTGCAAAATAATCAAAACTGGTAAACAATGAAACTGCGGCTCTTAAACGAAGCCATGCATGCCGTGCATTTGTATTGAAATGTCTCCATGATACGAAGCCAAATATTCAATGTAACGTACTTAATATCCAAAGGTGGAAACAAAAGAATGTAGAGATCTAGTGTTAAGAGTTCCATTTGCTTCAATTAATTATTTACCTTCCTGTGGAATAATATATATATATTTAATAGAACCATAGATAGACTAGTAGAATTTAGATTATAAATGTGTGAGTGCAGATTGTCCTGCTATTGCACAAGATAGAGGGGGGAAAATCTCAATTCCAGCTGGCAAAACGCTAACCACGACCAATCCTAAGAAAGTTGCACTAGATTGGTCACAGAATCAGAGGACGTGGAAGATGAAGTGAACTCCAGTGTTTCTGCGGCAGACGTGGGCTAGATCGGACGTGGTTCCTATGAGTTTGTTTCCCAAAGAAAATGGGGGGCCGTCTGTCCCTGGTGGAGCTCACCTATCCATTTGGAATATGGGGCATTTGTTTTCCCCACTGGGATGATTTCAGTCTGCTTTCATCATGTTGGAATTTGATCACACCATTTTCAAACAATGTTAACATAGTCCAGCTTTTGTTTTTCTCTTCTCTTCCAAGAGGAGACTCACTGTTTCTGTCTGAGGAAGCTCATACCCTCAGCAAAACATCAGGACAAATAAAGAGAAATGGGGGCACACATTCCCAACAGAAGCAGTGTGTTATTTGTTTTAAAACTCCGCACAGAGATCTTGGAAATCTTTCAAAAAGACCATTGAATTCTTCATTGGCTGAGAACTACATTTTAAAAAGTCTTAAATAGGGCTTTGTTTGCATTGTTTGAGTTCAAGGGGCCTTATTATTGAATGGAATTGCACAAGCCTTTCTTTGTGCAATCAGACCATTGTTATTGGTAGTTCTGTAAAGGAAACTGTGGGATCTAATTGGCAATGGAGTCATAAATCTATTTACTGAGTGTGGCTTCCAAGAAATGTTGCAATTCAAAATGCACTAAGTCCGTGATTTACTGGAGATTTGGAGATTCTAAATAATATTTTTTAAAAGCCTTTCCATGCAACTTCTGATTTAACTTTTGGCAACTCAACATAAAAAAAGAGAAAACAGCCCAAGTTTCAGAATAAAGTATTCTCCTATTAAGTGATTGGAACTTGTAATATTTGCCACAGGACTGACTTATTTATTTACTAGCTAGAAGCTGTTAAGTTCACTTGTTTATCAGGGCATATACAGAAGGGTTTGTTACAACTAAATGTTGATTTTACAACTTTCTGACCTGGTGCATGAATTCTCAAGTACTGTATTTCACTGTGTTGGTGTGTCTGATGGAAATTTCGAGGTGATCCTACAAAAATATTTTATGTAGTGTGCCTTCAAAGAGAACCATTTATTTCTCTTCACTTGTGTCCCACAAAGTCACATTTGGTGGTGGTCAGCCAAGTCCCATCTGGTCCAGTTTTACTCTTGTCCCAATTTTAAAGAGATATGGGAACAAGTGTGCCCACACCATTGCAATGATTATCTTAAGCACTTAAATTCCAGTGTTGGCTGTTGATGTATTTGATATTCTGCTTGTCTCCCCATGGTTGAAATATGTCTGAAGAATAGCAGCATAATCTCTTGGCTGTTTATACTTTTTTAAATTTTCCTGTGTTGTAAATATTGTACACTTTTGGTGATTCCAGCTATGTAACCTCTGCTCTGTAAGGTGATTATTTGTATATAGCAACATGGCCCAGTGATATTATATAGTTTCTCAATGGAGAGGTTATTGAGTAACCTTTGCATTAGTTTAAACACTACCAGAAGAATGCTGAGCCAACTATAAACACTCAATTTTGTATGTTTTCCAAATTGTACTTATTACTGCTTTTGATACTGTATTACGTGCCAATAGTTTCCCAATCACATAGCAGGCAAGAGATATTTTGTACTTTTTGATCCACTGTAATATTTAATAAAAAATGTTACTATCTGTTTCCTTTTGGGTATGAGTATTCTTTCACTTCTTCCCTAGGAGCCCCATGGCCTCACCAGAGTACTTTCTACCCCATTGTGTCCAAATTGGACAATATCGATAATAATGGTGATGATAAGGTCTGTAGGTTGTTAACCTGCTGTGTGCCCAGTTGGCATACAGTATCTGTAATCTTCACAATGCCACACAAATATGGGTATGCTCACTTTACTCCTAAGAAAACTAAAGCTTAGATAGGTAAATCATGCCCAAGATCACCTGAAAACAATTGAAAGAGTAGGATTTGAACCCAAGTCTTTTAGGTCTGTGACTTCCTTCATATACCATACTCCTCTCCTGGCAGATAACAAAAAAATCACTGTTCATTCAGTCAACAAAGACTTACTCGTGCTTCAGCTGCCAGGCATAGTGTTAGGATCTGGGAATACAATGGTGAGTGAAAAATGAGTATTGTCTCTGGAGCTTATAAATCTTATGGGAAAGATTATTAATCAAACAGTCATTCACCCATGTAAATACAAACCTCAGCCTGACCTAGTTCTGGGGAAGAGGAGTGTGATGACTAAAGTGACAACATGAAGAGGAAGTGGTGACTAAACTGATACATGAAGGATGATTATCAGTTGACCAGATATGAGGGAATTGGGAGAAGACTAATCCAAGCCCAGGGTACCATCTGTACCAAGACCCCAAGGCAGAAACAAGTTTGGCTTATTATAGGAGTCAAAGAAAACCCTGTGTGACCGAAGCATCATTAATTACAAGGTCCAGGGGATGAGGTTGAGTGAGGTTAGAGAGTACAGCAGGGTCAACCAAGTGCATGTGTCCCAATAGACAAGCATTTTCATCTTTATCCTAAACAAGAAGAGTTTTAAGCAGGTAGATGACATGTTCAAATTTGTCTTTTTCAATATTGCTCTCTGGCTGCTGTGTGAAGGCAGATGGAGGGAAATCTAACACCAAGGTGGTGGTTATTTCCATTGGGGTGGTGGAGCAGAAGAGTGGACACGCTTAAGAGGTTCTCGGAAGGAAGAAAGGACAGACTTGGTGATGGACTAAATGGGACAACAGATGGATATTCGGGAAGGATTGAAAAGCTAAGAAAACAGCATATTCTGATGTCTGGTGATGATGGTCAAAGACTTGTGATCTTCCATCCCCTTAATCCTCTTCGTCAGGCTTCTCCTGGGTTTTGCTCAGGCTATTACTAGTTGAAATGAGGCATTCACAAAGTAGCACCCCGTGTGCTCCCTTCTGAATGCTCCCAGCAATTGTGAAGAGGGAGAGCATGGACAGATTTTGATGAGTGTCTTGGATTACAACCCACATCATCTGATCAGGGTGGACTTTGAATAGAAGACAGTAAGCTGCTAGCAAGCATGTCACAACTCAGGGGAAGACACATTTTGTTAAAAAAACAAGACCCTTTTTCTTACTGAGGTTGAGATCCTTACCCTGCCCACCCTCAGGCCAGCAGAAGTTCCAGCAACATGTTAGGGGCCTCACCCTCTTCTTGCTGGCTGTCAAACTGATTAATCCAAACACCCAGCACAGGAAGAACCCTGGGCCTCATGGTCTCCTTGCTCTCTCATTCTGATTCATGTGTATTTCATCACATCATATGAATTGTTATGAGTACATCAAAAGAATGTTCTTCCATCTATGACACATTCAGCATCTACAGATCTGATATTGAATCATACACAACAGGAAACATCATGATAAGTTATCTATTTTTACCAGGCCTAACTGGCAAATACTGTTAGGAAGGAGGGTACTTTTGCTAAAGATGTCACTCACAGTGCAAAAGCAATGAAAATGCCCAGTGATTTATTATAGGAAAGTGGCCAAAGTTGACAAATGTTTTAGGGCTGATAGTGGCCAGAAAAGGGGTAATCATTTACATCAACATGCTGTAAATGATAGGAGATTGGGGGGGAGTGACCTCTGGCCAGGAATAATGTGAAAGAAAGCTTAGCCTTCGAGTTTGTCCTGCGGAGTATAATAAATCACATTAATTTTGGCTCTACTAATTCAGAATTCCTAAATGTTGGAATCTCTAGGCTAATTCCTGGTATTTAAAAAAATTCTAAAACTTTTGTTTAACCCACTTTAAAAAGCAAACTATTTTTAATCATGCTAGCCAAACTATAAGCATTCAACTAACCCAGTAAGGGCAAGGTGCTATGCTCCTTGAGGCATGCACACAAAAACAACTACTACTTTAATTATTGTTGAAACCCTCCAGGACAAAGCTGCCCAGTGGAACTTCCCAAGATGGTAGGAAGGTTCTGTAATTCAGAGTTTTCCAATGCTGTAGCTACTAGAAAATATGGCTATTAGGCCTTTGAAAAGGGCCTAGTGTGAAGGAAGTAACTTTAATTCTATTTAATTTTTAATTCATTTTAAATTTAAATAGCTACATATGACTAGTGGTTACTATATCGAACAGCAGAGCTCCAGAAGGTCCAAATGGCCAGTGTGCATATACAGATAGATTCAATTTCAGGTAGCTCAATACTGCACATAACCTTTTAACAAACACTAAAGCAGGCAACACTGTGCTTGCCAAAATTTCATTAATCAATGAGGCATTACTATAGATTTAACGTTATTTTTCACTCAAGATTTACACATCATAGGCATTTAAGTACTAACTAAACAAATAAATCATTAAGAGAGCATTAAGAAAAAAGTTTACAGTTACAGCATTTTGTAATCCAGTCCTGCCTTTTATGCTATGTCTGATAGTGTGACGCTTGAATGCAACTTCTAGAAAGTCTATGCAGTGTTAGCGTGGCCATGTTCAAGCCACAGCTCTTCCCTCCACGGTAGTTCGGTACTTATCTCTGCAGACTTGGCAAGTATCCAGCATGAGGGAGAGGACTAGCTGGGGAGAGGAGGACCCACAGGCCAAGGGTGGAGGAATCCACACTAAACGTAATTGCAGTGTCCTAGTCCTTGTACTTCACACCTGGGATGCCCTGCCTCTGGGCCCAGAAATTCAAGCAATCAGCCAAAAGTGTTGGCAGAACACCCTAAGTTTGTTTGCAAATTTATGAGGCAAAAAAGAGAGAAGACTCCAGGAAATAGTATTAGGAAAGAAAAAAAGGATGCAAAGACCTTTTACATTTTTGGAGAATAGCATTAACTTTAAGCCTATGAACTGGAAAATTTCAGATGAAAGAAGATATTTTCTATAAAAACAGAAGTAACCAAACTTTCCCAAGAAGAAATATAAAACTCAAGTAATGATTAACAATTTGATCAGTAGTCAAATAATTCTCCACAAAAAAAAGCACCAAGACCAAGTGGTTTTAAGAAGTGTCAGAGAATTGAAAAAGAGGAAAAGTTACCCAATTCTTTTTATGAGTTTATTTTGACCTCATTACCAAAAGAGACAGTGAAAAAAGAGAAATAAATAGAGACCAATCTTACTTGGAAAGCAGATGCAGAAATCATAAGTAAAATATTAGAAAAATATAAAAGTTTATGTTTGAAAATATACATTCATATATATATATATACATAAATATCCAAATTACATACATGTGTATATATACTAAAATGGCATACATGTTTAAAATGTATTAAAAATAATATTATATATGACCAAGAAGAGTTTATCTAGAAATCTACAGAAATTCTATTAATATAATAACATGTAAAAGCCACCTGGAAAAATATTACATTGGATCCCCATCTCAAACAATACACAGAATACTTCCCAAAAAGGAGACATGGGAGAATTGTTTTATAATCCTGGAGTGGGGAAAACCATCATATGATTTAAAATTCAGAAACTGTAAAAGATTGATTATTTATGTACATAAAAACTAAATTTCTATATGCAAAAAATGAGCAAATTCAAAATGCAAATATTACTTAGGTAATAGGTATTGAAATTCATAGCCTAAAGGGCTAATCTTTTGTATAAAGGGACCTTAGAAATCAGGAAGAAAATGGGAAAATGGTAGTAAAATGTACAAATCTGAAGTACACAGTTCAATGAACCTTGACAAATGTCTACAGCCATGTGACCATGACTGAGAACAGAATATAGTTCACCTCTGTTTTGGCAGAATGTTTCCTCATGATACTTGCCAGTCACCCAACCTACTCTCATCCAGTAGGCAATCGCCATCCTTATTTCTATCATCAGATTTGTGTCATTTGTTTTTAGCACTCTTTAAAAATTAGGAACACAAAGATATTTACCATCACATCAGTGTTTTTACTTAACATAGTGCTACAGGTCATTTCAATATAACATGATGGAAAGCAATTTGGCAAAATCCAGTAAAGTTGTAGGTGTGGTTACGATAAACTCACGAGAACACATCCAGGTAGACGCTGAGAACCCTCACACTGCGTTCACCGGAGTAAGTCAGAGGCTGCTTATTGCAGCACTGATTCCCATCGTACACACAGAAACTACAGAGAAACAAAACAACATAAAAGTCCATAAATGGAATAATGTGTAGTCATTAAAATGAATATTTTAAATGTCTGTCTACCAATGTAAAGAAGCAATCAAAAATGCAATGCTGAATGGAAAAAAAACATGTTGCTAAAGAGTTCACACAGTATGATAAAAATTCAAAACATAATAGGATGATGCTGTTTATGGATGTATTTAAGAATATGAAAACATAAAGAGGAACACTTTATCATCAGGTTATTCACAGGAGGGAGACGAGTCTGATGGGGGAAAAGATCTTGAACTGCCTGTGAGATTATTTCTGGGGCAAAATGGCAAAATGTTAACATTTATTGAATTTGGGTGGAAAGAATGTGGTGTTATTATGACACATATTTGCATATTTCAAATTTTTCCTACTTTGTAAAATAAACTAATTGACATGTAACACCACACATGGAGTAAAGACACATGGGTTTACAGCCTCCAAGCCTCAGTTAACTCATCTGTAAATTGGGGATAGATAACACTTGCCTTGTCTCCTTTCTGTGTTGTCAGAATATGAAAACATCTAGTAAGCA